ATTTAGGATTCAAATTCAGAAACTACATTTCAACTTATAAAACAACAAAACACGCACAATAAATTAAATCTTAAAATTAATCTGCAGTCAAAACTAATAAGCCAAGAGGTCAAAATACAAGATTGACTTCCCTAAAACATTTTTAGTGCATGATTTCTAACAAAGCTTCAAAATGCTTGTGAAATGGCTATGATCAGACTTGTTAAATAATGGATGTAACTCTTGAGTTTGTTAAAGCCCCATCATGACTTAAATAATATTTAAAAACAACTATTCAAACTTGATAATGGACAGTCCCAAAAATAAACAGTCACAAAAATAAATGGGGGACATTTTCAGCTGGGCTAAAATAATTGAAATTCAGCTGGTTAAGATCCAATATGAATTTCTCTATTTCAGGTTAAGGTCCAATATGAATTTCTCTAATTGAAAAATGAATTTACTGATTCTTTTTTTTATTGAATTAATCCAGTGTTAATTAATTACTAGTGTAAAGTGGAGGGAGGCTGAGATATTACAATATAATGCAGCTTCTTGATCTTCTCCTACACTCACATTTGATCAAAATTCAATAAAATCTTGCTCTCTTTTTTTTCCCCCCAATGAACTGGAAAGTTAATCTCTGTAATTTTTCTAAAAGCATTATATCTGCAGCAAAAACCTTTTGACCTGCATGGATAAAAGTTACATAATGGCTGTCAGGGGAAAATATTATAACAGATGGTGAACGTTTTTATCTCAAAAATGACTACAAAATAATTGCTTTATCAACATGTGTTTAGTTTACATTGGTCAAGCTACTTTGACCCTTGGGGCACCAATCGGGAATTTTGTTTATTTTTGTTTTATACGTTTTTACAATCTCTTCTCTCTCATTTTTGCAGTTGATTTTTTTTCTATTTGAATATCTGTCAGGAAAATCATTTCTCTTATTCCATTTCATCTAAAATGAGTTGTTTCAACAATGTTATCAAAATAATTAAGATTTTTTTTTTAAGCATTAATTTACATAATCAGAGAAAATGATAGGGTTTTACTAAGGAACAAACTGCCTTTCAAAAAAAAAAATCTCTTCAAAATTTAAAGTCTGAAATAAAAGATTATAATGTTAATAAAAATATATATATTTAATTATCTTAATTATCTAATTATCTTATAATTATATAAAAGGCAATAAATGGAGGACTGGTATAAGAAATAAGGTCACACTGACCAATGACTGTGTCGTGACGACCCGGGTTTCGTACCTTTTGTAAATATACATGTCAGAACAAGAACCAACTTCATTTTAATTGAAAAAAAAATATATCATATAATTATCAGTTGTTAATTTTATTTTTTCCAAAGGATTTTTTTGAGAGTATTTTGTGAGAGAAAAAAAAAACATTCGAAGAGGCATTAAAGAAATGTTTTAAAGTTACATAAAAGCTGAGACTTCACTTTCAATTTTACATCCAAACATAAGATGTATTTAGAATCTTTAAGCACCAATTTCTTTGTACCTGTTTCCAAAAAAAAATAAAAATATATATATGTATACATACAATTTAATTGAAGGTCCCTCATGCCAGGCTTAGATATCTTGCTAAATTTGCTTCTTATAATATATATTTACAATAAAAACTATATTACCTTGGTAAAAATTATAAAAGTTCAGTGATTGCAAAATTTCTTTAACATTAATTTTACATATCTGTTTAAGTCTGGTCATTCTATATGCATCAAGAACTGAGCCTCGTCACGACAAAACCAACATAATGGGTTTGCGACCAGCAATGATCCAGACCAGCCTGTGCATGCTGTTCGCTTACCAACTCTATTACAAGTAGAGAAACTGATAGCGAACAGCATGGATCCTGATCAGCCTGCGCCGAAGCGCAGGCTGGTCTGGATCCATGCTGGTCGCAAACCCATTATGTTGGTTTTGTCATGACACGGCTCAAATGTTGTGAAAAAATCTCCCTAAGGCTAGTGTAATACTATAGCTTGTATTTTGTGAAAACTATATTATATGTTTATATTATCAAACATGGATCTTTTACAACAAGTAACATCTGTATCTAGGCAGCTACAAAATCATTATGACCTAGCTTCAGATATACCCTGACCTTTGATGTCCAGTTTTATATGAAATAATAGTGAAAGAGCAACATTCTGACATTAATTATGCTGACCTGAACTTAATTTACATTTTCATCAATTGATTTTATATATATATATTTTATATAAATCTTTTTGTGCGTGGGTGTGTTGTGGGGTTCGCCCCGGGTTAATGGAAAAAATTAAAGTCATAATAAACTTTTTTCCCTTTATTTTATGGATTATTTAACTGGTCACAACGGACACCATTTTAGGTCAATATGACACATTTTTAAGTTAAGCTTAGCAAGGGGGGAGACCTCAGATGTCCGTCCATCTTTTTTGTATGTAATACGCTGCGCTTGGATACCCCGAGTAAAACCATTGACCTTCAGTCAGTAAACTGGATTATCTTCCTTGCACAAAAGAATTCGAAGTCCATAGCGGGATTCGAACCCAAAGTGCTCAAATGCCAGCACTAAACCCCCCAGCCACAGATGTCAAAATCAATTTATAATGAACATTTAAAAAATTCAATACAATATAACGTTTTTAAAATTTAATCAACAAAATAGTATGTTTGTACATATAACAATCTACAATAATTTCGTGTCAAACCTTTAAACAGTACAAACTATTTTTATCAACGTATAATTGCGCACAAAGTACATTTTTTAACATATTACAAACACTTACAACATTGTTTTATCCTTTAGATATTGGTTATCTAGGTAGACTTTTAACAATCTAAAATACTTTAAAATCTAATATGGGAGTCACAACATCAAGGTGACTTGTGTGTAAGTAATGTCCAGTGTTCTAAAAGATAATTTATCACCATACATGACCACATCAGATTAAAGTCGAAAGTTTATGACCCCTTAAATCATATCTTAAAACTCACCTGTGAAAATATAAACTAGAAAGAACATGTTTTAAATACACATTCACGACATCATTTGCTAAAGTTATCCAAATGTTGTAGCTTAAAAAATCTGAAGATGTAACTGTCAAGAGGCTTTAATATAACCATGGTTACCGTATATGTATAATTTGTTACATTAATATATTTTCTCAGAAAAATTAAAGCATTATATCAAATAGGAAAAAAAAACATTATGTAAATCAAGCAACAACCACGAGTTACAATAGAACAATTATTATTTTTCACCTTTAAAGCCCCATTATGCCCCCCCCCCCACAAATGCTTTTATTTCATTCCTCAAAAAAGTTTTTTTATATTTGATGTACTTTCATCAGTTTCCATAGTTACCAAAAAGTTACTCATTTTCCTAAAACCTTTACCATCTTTTTCTTCTATTGTTTTTTTTATTTATTTTTTTGGCAATTAGTGCAGTTATAGTGATTTAGTATTTTGTATGGAAGTCAAAATATTACTCCCTCAATGATGGCCCATTCCTCGCGCAAGCTGAATTACTCAAATATACAATATATGAATAGAGTATATAAAACAGAGTACTTTGTACATAAAACAAAAACATTTCAAAATTTTTGCTCCCTGCTAATTATTCATCGGCAGGTAAACAATTTCCTCACATGAGTGATTTCCATGATGAGTCATTTTACGACATGATTAATTTCTCTGTAAGAATTACACACCCCAATGATGCTGTATATCTATTAATTATCAATTTAACATGCATTGCAATAATCAATTATAAAACAGACTTTGCGGTCAAGTGCACACTTTGACACATAATGTAACAAAAGAAAAGAAAAGGAATGCATAAGTTTTACACCTAATGATGTCACAAATGACATCATGAAAATTACTTCCCTACTAAATCTGGGACAAAAAAAAAAGTTGTTTCAGGTTCCAAGCTCAATGGAGTTACAATGGGGGTGGGGGGTCAGGGAGAGGAGAGGAGGGGTTGCAGGAGTAAGGTTTGATCGGGAATGATAAAGCAGACTGGTGTAGAATCAAGTACGTACTGTAACTTACTGACTGTTGTATAACCATTACAAGTGTTTTATAACCATAGGGAATAGACCTTCTATTAGTATAAAAACATATGACAATTAACAACTCAAAATAAAAGTTTCATAACCAGCTTGTAAATTGTTTGGTTAAAGAACAGGTTCTTGCTAATTCAAAAGTATATCTTCTTTTGTACAGATCAATAAATTCATGGTTTTAAAAGATGGATATTTTCATTTTAAAGGCCCATCATGCCCAAGAAATGCTTTTAATTTTACTTCTCAAAACCATTCAATTTTTGGTGTACTGTTATATTTTTCTGAATTTAACTCATTGGCCAATTACTGGAACCATCTTTTGCATCGGTTGCTTTTGTTAATTAGTACAGTTATAGTGATTTCGTATTTTGTATGGAAGTCAAAATACTACTTTGTTTACATTTTGCTATTTAAATGACAAATAATTTCACATTCATTGCTTCTTTTTCAGGTGATAAGTGTATAACATGCTCTAAAACCATTAAACATTGTTTGTCCTTGGAAAAATTTATTCATTTTAAAGGAATAATATGCCTTTAATGAAGTCTAACATAAATTAAAATTCCTATGTTTAAACTACATGTATGTATATGAAATTATTTCCTTTTACAGTCATGCCTTCTTTTAAAATTTCTCCATATATTATAATACAGTGGAATTCTACTGCACAGAAGCACTGCCCCCATCCCCCCCCCCCCAGTCACACCCATGCCACCCTGTCCCCGTTACATTAATCAATGGACAAACAAGCATCCCCCAGTTTAAAGTTTAAAACCCACCTAAATGCTAGCTAGGTTTATGAATAATTTAAGAAAAATCTTTGATGACGTTAACAATTTCTAACAAAAAAAATGTTAAATCTCAATTTATGACATGTTTTTTCTTCATTATTTACATTTCCATGGCAACAATTCCCATCAAAATAACAATTTTTAAACTCTTACCTCTTTATATGATACATGTCCCCTTCACTGTTACAGTTGTGAATCTCCTTTACCGTCAACATGCTTTAAGGCTATCTCTTAGTTTTTCAACTGTTAACTTTTATTTCATTCTATTTTATAAAATTTTCACAGATAAAGAGATGCACTTGTGACAGAAACAGTTTTGACTTTTTCGCTCTTAGACAGATCTTTCCACATGAATTGTATCAAAGTTGGCCATTTTATCTTTTCCTTTTTTGTTGTCCCAATAACTTTTTGCATGTAATCTTTTGTAACGGCTACAATACACCTGGCAGGGTCTCACAAACTGTTTTTCAAATGAATTTCCACAATTATCTTATCTTTTAAAACTTTTAAAAACCTTCACATTTGGAAAATTAATGCATGTTTGCAGCTTTCTTGAAATATGTATAAAAAATATTGTTATATTATATATGATAAAAAAGTCGCTAAACAAGAAAAATTATACTAAAAGAATAATTACAATTTCTATTCCATTCTTGATGAAACCTTAATAATCAACATTATTTTTTCGTATATATGAAACTTTATACAATGTCTTGTACTGTGAAACACCAACAAAAAGACTGATACTTGTACTACTTCTTTTACTTTTATAGGACTTCAAAGAAGACAAATAATTACTTTCAACAAATAAAAACCGTTCCCAACGATTAATGTTGCTTTTTTAGCCATCACAATGACATCTTAAAATGTGCTAACTTTGTTACCATATATAGCACTGACTATTTAACATATATTATTTAAAGTTAAGAAAACAAAAGTTCCGATATACAGTATTCATTAGCTTAAAAGGCCTACGTAGAAGTAAGTTATTTTTGTATCATTTACAAACTTCTTGATTAATTTTTTTACTGAAAATACATCATTCGAATTTCCTTTTAAAGATTGAAACAAAAAAACCAAGTGACTAACACTACATGGCACGGATATATAAAATTTAACGTAACTTAAAAATAACAACCTATTTTACAATCCTATCAGTTAATCCTTAGCCCATCCTTTATCAAACAATTTTTTTTTTCAAAGTCAAAGTTCATATCAATTAAGATTGAGAAATTCTTAACCTCTTTTAAAAATGTCTCTGAACGTCACTAAAAATATAAATTGTCCACTTTTATTTATCTTCAACACAAAACATTTCTTATCTGGGAATGTTTAAATCTCCAAGCAAAAACATCAACCTTTTCCCCTTTCAAAAAGACCACAATTTCAACAGTGGTCAGTTTTATGTAAATAGAATGTCAAGATGAAAGTTTATGTGAACATATTTTGTTACTTTTTGCATTCCTTTCAAAAATTGCCATCATATTTGTGTCACAGAGATTCATTGATAAATCACAGCACCATTTTGAAAATGTGATCAAGAAACCATGAAATTTTTACAATGCCTTTTATTTTTATAACTCCCCCCACCCCCTCCCCCACTGACACGATCCCCATTTAATCATTACTCCAACACAGACCCTGGTCAGACTCTACGGAATAAGCCGGCTGGCCTGGTCAAAGGTTAACTGATGATTTTTTTAGTTCAATCAGGAGGAAGGTTTAAAGGGACTGACCAATGAGGGGTTTTTGTTGACATACAGGCACTGGAACTATTTTCTCCAGACTTTCGCACCATAATTATGATGTAGGTATAAATAACTTGTGTGTAAAATTTCAGATGGTTCAATCACATTGTTTTTCCAGAATTTTTATTTTCTATTGTGCAAAAATGACCAAAACATGAAAAGCGTTGCAATGCTTTTTTCACTTAAAACGAACTAATAATCATCATTAAAACAAAACAGAATTTTTAATTTAAGTCCGACTATATTTCTTTATAACATTTGGCATAATTTTTCCATTCTACGTGCGCATATCACTTGATCTATGCAAGAATTTAAAATTTCATGTTTGTAGGCTTCTCCGCCTCAGTGGAGTTCCTTTAAGAAAAAATGAGCCGCGTCATGACAAAACCAACATAGTGCGTTTGTGACCAGCATAGGATCCAGACAAGCCTGCGCATCTGCGCAGTCCGATCAGGATCCATGCTGTTCCCTATCAGTTTCTCTACTTGTTATAGGGTTGGTTAGCGAACAGCATGGATCCTGATCAGACTGCGCGGATGCGTAGGCTGGTCACAAACGCACTATGTTGGTTTTGTCGTGACGAGGCTTAAATCTTAAATAACAGCTAAGGTGATGATTCAACATTGTACTTTTATTACTGTTGTTCTTTACTTGTTCCTTAAAGTACCATGTCTCCAGAAAGGGAAAATATCTTCATAAAATCAAACTTGATAAAACTTATTAATACTTACAGAAACATTTAACTCAGTCGAAAGGGTATCGTAATAACATTTTTTTGAATTCTGAGTCATAATGCCTCAAAATATGTATAAAAAAATACCAACAGAAATGACCATCTTCCAATTGTTTTATTTATTGCCTATGACTAATTCATTAAACCTTCAAACAGGGTCGATTTATTCAAAACATCCTTTTGTAAAAAAAAAAAAAAAAAAAAAAAATCAAAATCATTTTAACAAGTTTCAGCTAATACTGAACATACTGGTCAAAAGGTCGCTGTTTAACTTATACAGTATGACGATAATAAAATCGCAGTGATATGTTTTTCATAAAAACGTTAAATAAATCAACGGTCCACTCAAAAACCTTTTATTCTCAATCAAATATTGATTTATCTGAAAATACTTTACCCAAAGCAAACTGACCAAACTTTTGTTTGTCGTACTTTATCTCGAAAACAGCAATTTTATTTAAACATCATGTTTAAGTATTATGTAACGAATATATTTTTCACAAAAACGCTTCATTGCTTTTTTCCAATATTCGCAAACAGTCAAACATTGCATAATGGTCAATACAGCAAAATGGTCAATTTTAAGTTTGAACAAACAATAAAGAAAAAAAGGTCAGAAATAAGTGTTTGAAATTCATTATTCAGGCTGGAATGTCTATTTGTTTGCCTTTTTCCAGCTTCACATCTTGTTATTAACAAAAAGGGAAAGCCATACAAGATTTTTAGAGAAAAACAATTATTAGTGCACATTCATTCTAATGTACTATATTTTTCTCAATCGTCCATTTTCTATTCAAAAATAAAATGTTTCTAATAACAAAAAGACATCTCTTGTTTTGCAATAACCAAACCCACTAAAAAATTTGTACAAAGTACAGTCTTAGGTAACAGACAACAACATTTAAAACACACATCTTTCTTGAAAACCAATCTTGCTACAAAAAAATTCAATTTTTCACAATTCAACTTACAAGATATTCACTGCAATGCTTCCATGAAGTTTCAAAATTTGTAAGTCAGAGACTGCTAAATCTCTAACATTATATAGGTAAAGAAGGAAAAGCATTATATTTTGGAAGTCACAAGCCAAAACCAATGAGTAAAATGACTCACAATCTTCCATTATTAAATTGCCAGTGCTCATACAATTTGTTAATTTGTTTTATAACATTTATATAACCTTTTGAATATTTATCTCTCTGGGTATAAATTATCACCATTCATTCCTCAAAATTATCCTTTTAAGGGCATGACTGGAGACAGATTCAAGGTTACATTATCATGGTATTTTATAGTGAAATCTATTTTTTTTGCCTTATTAGCAGGTAGAAGAACCCTTCAGGTTCATGTTATGTAAACATTACTCATTTCGTAGGGAATAATTATTGTACTGGCTGCAGCAGTTTATCAAAACAGATATAATATTACAATGTTTTTGAGAGACATAATATTCCACTTTTTTGAGAGACATAGTATTACACTTTTTTGAGAGACATAGTATTACACTTTTTTGAGAGACATAGTATTACACTTTTTTGCAAGACATAATATTACACCTTTTTTTTAAAGACATCATAGTACACTTTTTTGCAGGAATAATACATGTATAACACTTTTTCGAGACATAATATTATACTTTTTTTAGAGACATAATGTTACACTTTTTTGCAAGCCATAATATTACACTTTTTTACAAAACATAATATTACACTTTTTTTTAAAGACATCATAGTACACTTTTTTACAAAACATAATATTATACTTTTTTTTAAAGACATCATAGTACACTTTTTTACAAAACATAGTATTACACTTTTTTGAGAGACATAGTATTACACTTTTTTGAGAGACATAGTATTACACTTTTTTGAGAGACATAGTATTACACTTTTTTGCAAGACATAATATTACACCTTTTTTTTAAAGACATCATAGTACACTTTTTTGCAGGAATAATACATGTATAACACTTTTTCGAGACATAATATTATACTTTTTTTAGAGACATAATGTTACACTTTTTTGCAAGCCATAATATTACACTTTTTTACAAAACATAATATTACACTTTTTTTTAAAGACATCATAGTACACTTTTTTACAAAACATAATATTATACTTTTTTTTAAAGACATCATAGTACACTTTTTTACAAAACATAGTATTACACTTTTTTGAGACATCATATTACACTTTTTTGCAAGCCATAATATTACACTTTTTCGAGACATAATGTAACACTTTTTAGAGTCATAATGTAACACTTTTTAGAGTCATAATGTTACACTTTTACAGACAAAATACTACACTTTTTAAAGACATATCACACTTTTTTAGAGACATTATATTACACTTTTTTAGTTTTTTTTAAACTTTATATTGCGTTTTTTAGAGTGACATAATAATTACACTTTTTTTAAATCTCAGATTAAGTCTAAAAAATTGCATAATTGAATAAAATTGATAAAACTTACATCTCTGAAATAAATGTAAAAACATATAAATCTCAGTAACATCAGCAATCTGTGTGTATCATGGTCAAAATAATCAATCAAAAACCTTGTCAATTTTAATGATATACATTTTCTTCAAAATGAATATTTTGTGACAGATTGACCCTCATGTATCAAGCTGACCAGTGGTTTTATTTATTAACACATTTCCTTATGAAACCATATTTGGTGTTATTGACTATCAAATCAAATGGGTGAAATAACAAATTTTAAGTGACACTTGAGGAAAGAAAGCCAGTTAAAAACGTCCATCTTCGTAGCACATCTAAATAGTCATGTCCTGAATATTAAGTGTTGTTTTTTTAATTTTGGCAGTCAGCATCCTTGTTGCGGTCATCTATAGGTCTTGTTTTTCACACTGAGCCAGTTATTTCCCTTATGGCATTCTGTGCGTTTTAAAAATAACCCGTTTAGTCTGGCTAACTAATTAGCAGGATTTACAGAAGATCCAATAATAAACTGA